AGATCGGCAACACCTCTCGAGTTCGAAAATCGAGCACAATTTAAAAAAAAATAGCGATTCACTCCCATCGCTGACACCTCGACTGATATATACGCTCGCGCGCGTGTTTCCGTGTCTATTTGTATGTGTACGTGTGTGTGTGTGTTAGTGTATAGATGCGGGTGTATGGAATCGTACACAATATCAATTAACGTGCACAAGAACAATACTGCCACGAGATTGCGTGCAGGGCGGGTTCGTGCAGAGCCGCACGGAGCATTAACAGTGTGACAGACCTGGCTTTAACAGACACAACTTTAGCCCCAACGGTCACGTTCTCATTACAGTAGGTCGGCCCATACACTATGTGGTCCCATACGGGCGGATTATTCGCACGGTCCACAACGTCAATCTGAACCTCCACCACTCGCGTCATGGGCTGGTAGCCCTTGTCTTTGGCGATCGCTTCCAGCTTGTACATCTCACGCTACACCAGACCGCGTGTATAACAAACGGGAACAAAAAACAATGGCGTTAGTGTCAGTCGTAATGACTCGTGGCAGTAAGTATTTTTTTTTTTGGGTCTCGGGAGGGAGCGTCGCTCTATAGAGTGTCTCGCTCTCTCTCTCCCCTTTTCCGGATTCTGTCTCTGTCGTCGTGTTTCTCTCTCTCTCGTTTCATCTCTGTCGCCGCCATATTACATCATTTTCGTACACTGGTGTAGCACAAAAATACTGCTCTCTCGGTCTGATCGTCGTGCATACTCGGACAGACTCCCGCCTGTTGGACGAATGCTCTCTCTCTCTCTGGCCGGGTCACAATCTGCTCTCTCGTATAGCCGCTTTACCGCTCTACTTTTTTACATTAGCGATTGCGATATTTACGTTCTAAGCAAAGCGGGACTAGGGCCAGCCGGATAAGCTGAACGTGCTGAACCCCGAGGGGACGACAAATCGCCACCCCCCGAGTAGAAGATCGCCGAATCGCCGATTGCGCCCCGCTTCTGCACCTGCGTGTGTTCTCTCTGTGCTGGACCTCGTGAAGAAGAAAGGAAAAAAAAGACAAACTTTCGCTCCCGTCGAGGGAACCTCGATCTCTCGCTATATCCTCGCCTACCCTATATACGGATCATCGCGCTAAGGACAATCCGGCATCCGGTTTTCCGAACTCGTACACATCTAGGGATGTTTTCCGCTAAAGTCGCCGAAACCGGTTCTCTCGATCGTTCGACAATCTTTCCGTGCTCTCTCGATCATCGTAGAATCGAATATTTTCACATCGTTTCATTGTAATACGTTCTTCTGTAGTCGTTTTCGCAATTGTACATCAAGATTCCCGAAGGCTGTCGTGAAAATCGGCTCCGGCGAATGGTAACAATTAACATAAGTAAGGGAGAGATAGTAGTGGTAATAGTATAGTAATGGTAGTAGTAGTTGTAGTAACAGTAATAGTAGTAGTAGTAGGTAGTAGTAGTAGTAGTAGGAGTGTCCGACCAATCAGCGATCTACCGCGCCGCGCTTGACCATACATGCTTCCTCTCCCGTAAAATACATCATGTACGTATAAAAGTGACACAGGAGAACGTTAGAATGTAACGACAGAAACTGAACGTAGGTACACAGATAGAGAGAAATTAAAGAATACCACAGACTGAGAACGATACGAACCGATAAAAGGTATAGAACGTGAACCTATGAACAAGTTAGACAGGTGAACGTATATACGTGTATGTATATATGTAATAACAGTGATCTTATTGGAGAAAGAAGTGAATCAGACGGAAACGAAGAACAGAAACGCAAAGAAAATGACGAACGAAGAGAGAAAGACAGAAAGGTATAAAAAAAGGGAGTTAGCATTGCATGGCACGGCACGGCATGTCACGTGTCTTGTCTCGGTCATGTCGTGGCATACAAACCTGGCTTTCACCGACGTCACTACAGTACCCACTGTGACATTTTCTTTGATGTGAATGGGGCCGTATACATTCGCATCCCACACAGGTGGTTTATTGTTTCTGTCTACGACGTCTAACTCAACGTCCACGTCTGCGTGCAACACTGACATCCCTCTGTCGGAGGCCCGTACTCGCAGGCGATAGCTGTCACGCTAATGGCAAAACATTGGGCCGTCAACTCACAGGACATTTTTTCGGGACTGTTGTTGGCGGATTTTTTCTTTATACATTTTTTTTTTTTTCGTTAATACTTTCTGCTTTTTTTTTTCTTACACTTTTTTTTACTTCAGCTGTTCCGTTTTCTTTTTTTTTTTTTTTTCGTTTTTTACACATACAATGTAGGTACTTTGCTTTTCGGTTGGCGTTTACGAGAGATATAAGTCACTCGGTGGCGAACGCGGTCGTCGAGGACGACCCGAAGGGTATCTCTTAATCGCAAAACGAAACGAAAGAGATAGAAGAGAGTGAAGGACCATGCAGTCTCGTGGGTATCCGTATTTTTTTTTTTCTCTTTGCTGTTTTTCTTTTTTGGGGGGGGTTCCAGACCTCTTTTTTTTGTTTTTTGTTTTTTTTATATGGAAGAACTCGCTTAGGGGTAATCTTCCGCGCGTCAGCCAATCTGTGATTAACCTGAAAATTTCTGACATTATCGAATCAGTTCAATGGCACTTGACGTTCGTTGAACGATGAATGAACGACAAGTTTTTGCGTGAACGACAATCAGTCTCTGCAGGGAGCTTCAATTGAGGGATACTTACCCGACGCTATTTTTGTGTAATGATAAATATGATACTGATTATGTGATTTTAGTCGCACGGTTCCTTTATGACTAGCTCTAAATAATGGAAAATTTCGAGAATTCTACAACGATGTTCTTGTATGCCGATAACGTTCTTACTTCTTGCGCGATCTCGTTTAAAGAATTAAATACGACTTTTGTCACTATTTGCTGTTTTCTTTGGCGTGAGATCGATAATAATTTCGAAGAGAATCTTCAAATTATCAGCGCGACACGATCTAGCTTTGTTCGAGGCAATCGTACTTTGGAAAAATTTTCTCACTGACGATTATGCAATGTGCATAAGATAATGAAGAAGAAAAGAAGTTTGTTTCGAAGAATAAACGAACGCGTTATCGGCAATAGGTGACAATAAAGAGGTCCTTCACCTGCGGATACACTCGAGACCAGGATAAAAAGAGAAAGCGAACAAAAAGGCGCGGTAACGCGAATGAATATTCTTATTGAAACGAAAAGAAGTAGAACAGAACGAAACTGAACGGAGAAAGAGAGAATCGTACAGATCGCGCAATGGTAATGTACTATTTCGAACGCAAGAACAAAGTAAACAAAGTAGAAAAAAGACAAAAAAAAAAACAATCGATCAAAGACGGAGATAGAGAAAGAGAGAAAGAGAGACGGAGAGACAGAAAGAGAGACAGAAAGAGAGACAGAAAGAGAGAGCGATACAAACAGAAACAGAGTGACGTCTCCGAGTGACAATTAAATATGAATCATAGAATAACAAACAGAGGTGAACGAAACAATCGAAAACGCAAAACAAAGAAAAAAAAGAGAATGATTGATCGAATGTACAATTATGAAATAATTCGAACGGAAATGCGCTCTAGTATTTTTTCTATATATATATATTACAACGAAAACACACGTACTCGTGTCTTTTTTCTTTTCGTTTTCTTTTACTTTCTTTTCGGTCTTTTTCTTGCGCCGGTATAACAATTCGATCTCTATCGTGTTATACCCATTCATGGTGTTCTCGATGCAAAGTGTGAAACACAAGAATGTAGTTCCTACTTACTGGAAAACAGCCCTTTTTTTTGTCATCATCAAATCCGAAGAAAGTAAATGGTGCAATGAACACAAACATAAACAATAAGAAATTCAAATTAGTTCTTTTACGAAATCAACCAATGCAGGCATTTGCATGCAAGCAAGAATGCGTTTAAAGAGGCATCAGGAGGAGTAGGGTGATGTGAGAAAGAAAGAAATAGCCAGATCGAGAGAGAGAAAGAGAGAGAGAAGAAATAGACTGAGAAAGAGAAAAGAGTGAGAGAGAGAGAAAGAGAGAGAGAGAGAAGAAATAGACTGAGAAAGAGAAGAGAGAGACAGAGAGAGAGAGTAACAGAGATAGAAATAGAGAGAGCTCGAGGTACGGAAGGGGTGGATATGAAGGGTGACCGGAGTTACAGAGAGAAGGAAAAAAAATTATGACGACCCCTCGTCTGAATCTTTCGTTTTAACGACACTCAAAAACCGATGGACGTTTTTACCGTGTATTTTTATGTTATTTTACTTTTTTTTTTTTTTGTTTGTTACGTTGCCTCGTCGAGTGTGTTTATAGATCTGCATTATTCCGTTTGTTTTTTTTTTGTCTGTTTCGTTACGACAGTGGTATGCCGCCCCAATCACAGAAGAAAAAATGTCACACCACGGACAGATTTCTTACGGTTTTATATACTCGTTATTGCGCTCTCGGCAAAAAATGTCTCTCATTGCTTTTTTCCGGTATTTTTTTTTTTACTTTTTTTTTATATATACATATTTTGGCTCATTGTCAGTCACGTCGTGGTTTGCGGGGAGAACAGAGGGACGAAAGTCGGGATGCGTCAGG